AGTGGAGAACTTACATTTTAGCTGGATTATGACTTCTGATTCACAAATGTAGTATATCTCTCCATTTATTTGGGGCTCCTTTAATTTCTTCAAGAGTGTTTTGAAGTTTTTATCTTCCCTGCCTCACATATATTTTGTTATATGTATTTCATTTTTTATGCTACTGTATATGACCTTTACTAAAAATTTATTATTCATGTTTTTGTTGGCCATTTGGAACAATACAATTCATTTTGAATATTACCTAATATTACACTTAATTTTTATATTAGTTTTTTTTTGAAGTGCATAAGAAAATGTATTAGTTGACCCTATGGTTGTATATGTTTGTAATTGAGATTTTTGTCAAGAAATGAACTATGATGTTCAAGATTCGGCATCTGACCATATCCGGAGGCTCATAGAGGTCCAGTAGGGGTGGGTACACACGAAAGCTAGAGTCCTTCTGGGAAAGGCTGCATCCTAAAAAGCCAACTGATGAGCCAAATTTGATTCAAGGATTATGAGGTTTTGGAATGGAGACACCAATAAGAGGTGAGATCCTTATCTTCAGTAATGACTCTATAAAAGACTATTTTGCTAAAATCTTTCAAGGCATATAATCCTTGGTAAACCACTTGGAGTAAAAAGTAACCACAAACTAAAAGACAAAGAGAGGATTTCATTTTGCTTTTATGGTAATGTGGCATAAGGGAGAAAGAGAGGGAAGGAGAAAGAGGCAGAGAGAAAGAATTTAACTTAATAAGATTTTAATGAGACACAGAACTAAAAATGAATTGAGGTTTAGTAGCTGACAGAAATTCCATTCCTCTATTTCCCTTTCCCCCACCCCACTCTGCAAACATCCCCTCGCCCCCCCGCCTCATACTACAAACGTTCAAATAAAATGTGTTATATTGAAAATACAGAGTTTTGTTGTTGCTATTTGTAAGTTAGTAGTCATGGTTGATTGCAGAGGCATGAGCCAGAGCCAACAGTGGTCATGAAACTAAAAGAAAAACTCTGGCAAACTCTGGACCACTGCAGGGCACGGAAACAGACTTCATCTAGGCTATTCTAACTAACATCTGGAATTCACATGTAATAACACAGGCTACTTCTTTCCTATCTCACTTCCTGTTTTTATAACCGTGTGGGACATTTTGGAGAAGCTTAATTGGGCATAATTGGTATTTTGGAGAAGCTTTGACAATTTGAGATTTAATGCAATTTCACAATCACAGAAACTTAGATTGGCTGGTCCACTTTCTATCTGCTTAAGTAGATCACAAGTCAGAACAAACCAGGTTCCACTAGAATGTGGTTGGGTGGGGCAGAGGATGGTTGGTTGCTAGGTAGTCAACAACTGATAAATGTCTTCTTTTTTTTTTTTTAGAATTTTTTTTTTATAGAGGCATGTTTTTATTTATTTGTTTGTTTGTTTTTGTTTATACACGCACTGGGTACAGTCAGAAGCGCGGGAGGGTGAGAGAATTCACCAGAGCCAGAGCGGGGAGCAGAGCAGGCAGAAGGACCGAAGTACACTGCTGAGGGGAGCAGCAGGCGGCAGGAGAGGTCTGCGCGCCATGTGGGACCCTCCTGTGGTGGCCGGGGAGCAGCCGGGGATCGAACCGGCCGCAGAGGCCGCGGGCAGCTTCGCAACCCAGCGCTCAACCGCTGCGCCAACGGGGAGGCCCTGATAAATGTCTTCTAATCCAACTCTCTTACTTCTTTTTGGTCCTTTGCCTCCTCTTAACTACCTTTTAGCTTGTTAGCTTACTGTATGGGAGCTGTGCCACATCAATTTAGACTGGTGATTGAAGTAGGTTCCTAATTGCTGGGGTGAGTTAGAAAGTGAGATTTTAAGTGTCACTTTGACTCTTTTGCAATTGCCATCCTGATACAGCATACTGGCTGCTGCAAATCTAACCCAGGTGGAATTCTTTAATCAAATTTCTGATTTGTCATGTGGTGCAGATGGGAGGCAAGAGAGTGGACAGGGCAGATGTTGAAAATCACCTGGAGGGAACATCACTTTGGGAACTCCAGTGCCATCCTTGCATGTATGTAGCAATTTTTCCGGTCAGTACTTAATGGCTGAGATTAACTAAATTGGCAGCTATGTTCTTTTGGAAGTGTCAGTTTAACATTATTAATAGGACCAGAAATAGGAAGGGATAGTCACTGGGGCTAAAACTTCACCATCATATTGACTCAGAATGAGAAACAAGATGAAGTATTAAAAGAAAAGTTCTGACCTGTAAAGTGTTGATCTTTGCTTGTCTCTGCAGAGGGGCTCGGTAAGCACACGCATGCGTGCAGAGTGAGGCCACTGGGCCAGGCTGCTCAACTCCAGTTCTGCGCTTGTCCCAAGGTGTTGGTTTTACCTTTTTCTAAGAAGTGCTCAAAGCCAGGGATTTGGCAGTGAAAAGCAACAGTGGTAGCAATCTGTAAGTTAAGATTACACAATTAACTCCTTCATTATCGTCTTAGGATGTATGCAAAATCCTTGCTCACATCAGGGAGTAGGGGAATCATCACATCAAAGAGAAAACAACTCTTCATCAAATGTCCAAATGGACCAAGAAATACAAAGGGTGAGGAATCAGAATGATCGTATGTGTAGAGTGTCATCAGTAAGCTGACGGTGGGCTCTGTCTGTGTGTGTGTCTCTCTTTTTTTAAAGATTTGTTTATTTATGCATACAAAAGGTGGGCCAGAGGTGAGGGGTTGGGAGTGAGAGGATTCACCCAGAGACAGAGTGGGAAGCAGAACAGGCAGATTGACTGAAATATATTGCTGAGGGGAGCAGCGGTGAGACAGGAAAGGTCTGTTGTGCCATTTGGGTTAGCTCTCTGGCTGGGGATTTAACTCATGCTGCAGTGGCTGCGGGTAGCTTATGAGACTTAACTCCTTGCTCCAGCAGGAAGGCCAGTCTATGTCTCTTTAGAAGTTTATGGATGACAGGTACTCTGGAGAGGGGTTCGGAGGCTGTGGCCATTCCTGGTCATATTACCTTACCCTGCTCTGCTTTGTATAGCAGATTGAGGGTGAGGGGCGAGGTAGTTTCCAGACTTCCAACACTCCATGCCATCTTCTAATTTTCCAGTTCATCCTGCTTATAGCCTCGTCTCCACAGTCACTGACTCCTCTAGTCAACACTTTTTAAAATTTCTGCTTCTTTAGTTTCTGTGGCATCATGTTTTGGGTAAATTCTACTCATTCTGATGTGTCATTTGTATCTTTTTATGGTTCTCTCTTCCTTGATTCAACTCTTAAATGCTAATGTCCTCTGAGTTTCACTTATCTTTATCATTCAGCCTAAGTTAGTTAAGTAGCTGCTCTCTGTTAGGGTCATCTCAGAATGAGTAAGCAGTTGCCAGTTGAGATATGTCGTGGGGAAAATAATCAGGTTGCACTTTCTAGAAGATGTGGACCGGGTCTTTCCTGGTTTTTATGGTGGTATTTTAGGTAAAGGCCCGTGAAGTAGACACTTTTCCCTAAAGATTTCCCTAGCCTGTTTCTGGGAACTTGTGAATCTGTTACCTTATTTTGCAAAAGGGACTTTGCAGATATGATAAGAATCGAAGATGTGGTATATATACACAATGGAATATTACTCAGCAATCAAAAAAGATAAACTCATGCAATTTGCAGCAACATGGATGGCGCTGGAAGGGATCATGCTCAGCGAAATAAGCCAGAAAGAAAAAGAAAAATACTGGATGGTCTCACTCATAGCAGGAATTTAGAAGAGCTAAATAAGGGACCAGGAAAAATACTAATTATATAAAATATAATAATTCATAAAAAAAGACTCAAGATGGGAGTTATCCTGGATTATTTGAGTGGGTCCAATATAATCCCAAGGGTCCTTATAAAAAGGGAGGCAAGAGGGTCAGAACCAAGAAGTGTCAGCAGAGGCAGAGGTGGGAGCTGTGCAGCTACAGCCACAAAGGGAAGGACGTGGCCGGCTGTCTCTGGATGCTCCCTACAGCCTCCAGACAGAGGCACAGCCCTCCAATACCTTGAATTTAGCTTCATGAGAGCCACTTTGAACTTCCTAAGATGACAGATTTGTGCTATTTGAGGCCACTGATTTTGAGGCAATTTTTTATCACCCTAGGAAACTGATTACAGCTTCCAGTGCTTAAGACAGCAGTGACAGGGGCGAATGTGCACAGAACTTTCTAAAAGCTAGCAAAACCAGTCCAGAGCTGTCATCCCCAATAGCCTATGAAAGAGGAAGTTGAAGATGTGAAGATGAATGCATTACAGTATTTGTAAGGAATGCTTAGGAGCACAAAGCACTTTGGCCCTTCTCTTGCCTTTCTTATGAGTGCCACAGGAGGCATTTGCTACCCACCTCAAGCTTTTAGGGGAAGGAGACCAGGAGAGAGGTTGGCAAGGAACATGGCAAGGATAGACTAAATTCCCTCCAGCCTCCTTCCTAGCTGCCCCCTTCTGCCCCGCTCCATGACTGGGGCTGCTTGAACTACAGACTCTCAGATGTCCTTCTCAACCTAGCCCTGGGGCAGGGGTGAGTACATTGAGAGTCCTGGAAAGAAGTGACATCATCTCCCAAGAACATGCTTCATCCTGGCCTTGAGAGCTGCAGGCTGGAGGCTGGAGTAGGCTGGAAATATGTGGGGGAGCAGGCAAAGAGAGATAGCAGCTCCAGTTGTACTGTTTGGTAGGACAGGGACTTGCCTATGGCAAGAGCAAGAGGCACCTGAGACCACCACTGAGAACCTAGTTGTGGGACTCAGCCAGCGTGAGGCTGCAGGGCAGGTACTGCAGGTGTAGGTGCTGTGGGGCAGGCAGGGCCCAGGATGGGATTTGCCTCCAGAGCAGTGCAGATGCTCCCTTTGGCCACTTGAAGGTCCAGCTGATTCTCTCCATCAAAGAACCAGCATTTGATACCTGCCACGACAGAGACTGGACAGCCAGCTTCCAGGCATTTCCTTTTCTTTTCAACCTTCTTTTCTGTGTTTTCACTCGCCCCAAAACCTGCAGGGTACTGAAGTAACTAGCTGAAGTGAGAATACGAGAATCAGATGGGGGCTGAGGAGATGGAAAGACCAGACTCTGCTTCCGTGGCTTCTGAACCCTGCAGAGCGCTGCCCCCTTGGGGGTGAGGGCTGCTCGTGAGTATGAAGAGAAACTAGGTGCTAGTTGATACAGAGTTAGGAAATCGTGGCTTAAGTTATAGAGAATAAGAATCTTCATAAAGTGGGGTCATGAGTATATGTATCAATGGCATGAAAATGGTGAACTGTGGCCATATCAATTTCATTCATTCATATATTTATTCATTAAACAAATATTTATTGAATACTTACCAGGTGATGTCCTATTTATAGAGCTGGGTTTTTTTTTATATATACAAATTTTTTTTTTAGTTTTTATATTCCCCATACAATTGCAACCCCCTTATTTTTACCCCAATCCCTCCCCTCCCTGCTCCCCACCCCCCATAGAGTGTCTCTGGTTCATAGTTGTTTGTTGATTTTGATTTTTTTCTTTCTTATAGTTATTCTTTTTCCTGGTCCCTTATTTAAGTTTTCTAGATTCCTGCTATGAGTGAGACCATCCGGTATTTTTCTTTTTCTTTCTGGCTTATTTCGCTGAGCATGATCCCTTCCAGCGCCATCCATGTTGCTGCAAATTGCATGAGTTTATCTTTTTTGATTGCTGAGTAATATTCCATTGTGTATATGTACCACATCTTCTTGATCCAGTCATCTATTTTTGGGCATTTGGGTTGTTTCCAAAGCTTAACTATTGTAAACAGTGCTGCTATAAACACAGGTGTAGAGCTGGGTTTTCTGAATGTAGCTTTGTGGAAGCATCAAGCCCTTTCTTGACTGTAGGTAGCTATTTAAAATAAGGGACCAGGAAAAAAACTAATTATAATAAAGTAAAAATCAATATCAGCAAGCAACTATAAACCAGAGATACACTATGGGGGGGAGGGAGAGGAGGAGGGATTAGGGTCAAAATAAGGGGAGTGGGAATTGTATGGGGAATATAACCAAGATGAAAACGCATAGATTGTGCAAAAATGAAAAATGATGTAAAAAATATATAAAATAAAATAAAATAATAATAAAATAAAACATTCCGCAAGAAGTTCTCAGAAAGATCCATCTTGGTGAAGCCACTAATGTATCATCATCACTATCAGCATCATTTAATCTTAAACGCACACAGCATAAATCAGCTGAATGATTCTGTATTGAGGAGGGAGTCTCTTTTATTTGGAAAACATTCATTTTCCAAATATTTCTAAATGAGTCAAGTACCCAGAAGTGGTGAATAGTTAATCCCTACAAATCCTCCCTGATAGTTTCAGACATATGAACACCACTCACCACTATGCCCCTGCCCTCCATCCCTGGGAGAAGGGACTCCCTCTCTATGGCTAAATTAGAAGTTAACCACTTTCTATAGCTGAATTAGAGTCTTGTACTGCAGCCAAAACACAGTGTGGATTAGACAACTAAAGATGTCTTTTCAAGTGAAACAAAGAAATTAATTAAAGCCAGACAGGATGCGTCTCTGGTGTGGTGTCTGGCTTTGTACTCGCTCTCCGGCCCGCAGGCACCAACAAGGAGGGTGCAATGTGGCAGGTGGTTGTTGTGAGTCTAAGCCAGACCTAGAAGTTAAAAGAGAACCCCTCGTGGAATCTGGGCCTGCCACCACAGTTCGTGCTGGTGAGAAGGCTGAGTGGCCCATGCCCTTAGGGAGGCAGACTGTATCATATGTGTGTGTGTGTGTGTGTGTGTGTGTATGTGTGCACTGTACACATGGACCTGAGAAAGGGCAGGGAAGAAGGACATCGAAAGAGTGATAATGGTGATAAATGGGCATCTGTTCTTTTTTCCAGTGTAAAAGGACAGGGCCTCTAAGGAAACAATGAAAACCAACCACACTGGGAAGTGGTGATGATCTGACCGAGGAGAGCAATGTCCTGTCTTGAGATGGGTGGAATGTGGTAGACAGAGTGGCTAGTTAACCCAACAAAGGTAAATGGTGAGTAATTGGCATTATTGGCATTCGAATTCTGATATTTGATACTAAAACAAGCTGGAGACATCCCTTAGCCCACACTACCTCTCCACAGCCCCCTCCTGGTGGTGTCTTCCAAGAAAAATCCTGGTGGTTTACTAAATGGAATTCTAGAGGGAAGTGATTCTGCCTTTCGAAGCTTCTGTGTCTTCAACTGTAAAAGACGGCAGATTTCCAAGATTCCTTCTAGCTCTCACATTCTGTTTGTGGGGCCTGAAGGCTTTCAGGAAGTGGTGGTGGTGGGGGTAACCCAAACCTTAGACTAAACTGGTTATGTTAGAAATCTTAGCTAATCATCAGACCCAGACATTCAGAATAGCATTTAGTTTCTCAAAAGCTGACTTGCAATTGGACACTAATCCCTGCTCTCTTCAATTGCAGGTCTACTGTTTTCAGTGGGAAATACAGTGGCTGGCACGAGGAATACACAGTAATCATTTGATGAATGAATGAAAGCTTGAATGTTGCCTTAGGCTGGGTTGGCCATATGTCCTCTATAGGAAGGAACCTGAAGAAGCTGTGTGTGGAGGTCCACAGAGACCTGACCGTACATAACAGAACTTAGAAAGATGTTTACTACAAGGGCCACATGGGGAAGTCTGGAATTTTTTTTTTTTTTTTTTAGGCAAACAAAGATCTCATTTCAGGGAGTTGGTTCAGTGACTTACTTTGATGTGGCTACTTTGTAGACCCAGATCTAGAGCACAACACAGGCTTTTTTTTGTGGGGAGAGAAGAAAAGAAATGAAGCTTTAAAGCTACTGCCTGTTTGTCTTTGCTGCAAAGAGGGACCCACAGAGTAGAGAAACTTTTGTATCTGAGCAGCCTGTGAGTTGGTCTGAGAACACGTGATGGATGGTCTCAAGCTCCGGAGAATGGAGTTGCACGGCCTGTTCAAATGAGGAGATGGGGAGGCCAGTGTGTTCAGGGAAGAACTTTTGGGGAGGGTGTCTGCAGTTCACCTGAGATACTTAATATTCCGTTCTAATTTTTACCTTCAGCAACATCTGTTAACTTCACCAATGCTTTGTGTGAGTAATTTCAAGGGAAATTTAAAAGTTGCGGTCTGGGTAATGACCCAGATGAATGGTTTTGCAAGGAGCAAGGGGGGGTTCATGTTAAAGATCTGGCACTCCACAGGCATCCTCGGGCAATGTGGGACTCCCCACTTCATATGGGAGCCAGTTTTGTTTACGTTTCAAAGGACAATGTGCCCTTAACTGAAGTCTGTGCAGTTGGCTTATAGTCTTGAGTGTCAGGCCTTCGCAAAGGCGAGGGGAGATTTTTTTAGGAAGCACGCAGAGTGAAAGCTGCGACTGCAGTGTCCCTGGCTGCTTTATTTTAGAAATCAGTGGGGAACCACTGGTGCCAGGGGATATGAATATTGAACATTTTCCCCAGGAAACAATCTGTTAGTTTACCCCCTGCCCTATAACAAGATGTAAATGATAAGCAATTGAAAGGCACTGGGGACAATTGAAGGTTGCTGGATACAACTAGTTATGAAGAAGAATGAAGTAAGAAGCACCAAAAGATTGAAGATCACGTAGAAAAAAATGTGAGCAATAATTGTCATTGAAAGCAAGCATCTCTGAATTAAACACATTTCATTTTCAAAAGCTTCCCAGTAATTAGAGAGTAAGTAAGAGAAGAGGGTAGGGATTTTTTTTTTGGGGGTAAGGGAAAATTATTTTTATTTCACATTTAAAAAATGATGACTGGGTGCCCTGGGCCAGTCCATAGAGATGATTGCTTCCTTGTGTGTTTTTTCTTTCCTCTGTTTTTTTGCTTCCCGGTTCTCTGCTTTATTGAGTCTCCATTCAGTTACTGTGCTAGTTTTCATTGTAGTGCCTGCAGTTTTCATTGTGATCATTGAGTGTGTGATCATAATGTAACCTTATTCATGGGGGCTGGACTTAATGTAAACCAAGTTAATGAAAAGTAGCTGGGATTTTGGCAAACCCTCAAATGGAAGGACCCACAGATTTTGTCATGTCTGTTTATTCATGGTTCAGGGGAAACATCAGTTTTCAAATTTATTGCAATTTGAGGGTTTATATCTCCTTCCCCTCCCACTCCATGTCATGACACTACAAAAAAAACTTACACTGATTTCATAAGATCCAAATTATATTATCAAATAAATGTAAAACCAGTAGGAAATAAGTAGATACAGTTGACCCTTGAACAATGCAGAGATTAGGGGTGCAGTGGAAAACCCATGTATATCATTTGATTCCTTAGAAGTTAATTTCTAGTGGTTTGCTGACTAGAATCCTTATTGATGTAATAAATAACTGATTAACATATTTTGCATGTTATATTTTTATATACTGTATTCTTACAATAAAGTAGGCAAAAGAAAATGTTATTAAGAAACTCATAAGGAAAATATTTTATAGTATTATACTGTATTTATAAATATCATAAATCTACATCATCTGCTCACAAGAAAATCTGAGAAGTACAAACAGTCTTGTTCAAGGGCCATCTGTATTTTATTAGTAGCTATGGAAATGGAAAGGTGAGTTTTCAAAACTCAAACTGAAATCATTATGTCCCCCACTTTTAAACACTTTCCTTCTATATTTTTGGTTCATTATTGTTATCATCTATCCAGAAACCTCACAGTTATCATTTCATCTATACCCCCAGCCCAGATCTTATCAGGTGCTAGAAGATCCTTTCTATTATACTACCTACTTATATCTCGTATGAGCACCTCTCTTCCCTCATCCCACCTTTTCTTTCTGTCCTGGTCAAGCCCTCATTACACCCAAGTGGCCTCCCTGCCTCTGTCTCAGTACATTCTAGTACAAACTCCAAATGCCTTGGACTGAAGCCCTTTAACTCCTTGCAAATGCCCACCTGCATTGAGAGCTTGATGGAGAAATCCTTGTCTTTATTATGTACCATGGAAGCCTCAGAATCTCTAAAAGTGACAGTAATAGAAGGTTGGTTTGAGGCACCACAGAGATACCCATGACTGGCTGGACAAAGATAAGAATGATGGAGAAGGAGAATCCAGGAGGTCTGGCAGGCCAAGCCTGTGTTGTTTTATGTATAGTCTTGCATTGCAAAACGATGCTTCAGTCAACAAGGGACTGCATATGACAGTGGATCCTGTGTACAGCCTAGGTGTATTGTGGGTTATACCACCAGGTGGACAGATGCTCTGTGATGGTCTCTCCATGACAAAAATCTCCTACCAACGCATAGTTGCTTGAGAAGAGCTAGGTTTTCCCAATTTGGAGCCTTGGCCTTGGGAGTGTCCATGCCTACAATGCTCTTTGTTTGCCTTATCCTTTTGGTCTCACCTGAACTATAACTTGCTCACAGAGACTTTCCCAAACTCCTGTACCTAAAGGACATCTCCAGACTTGGCACAACCAGTTGAGGTACACCCAGTACCCTGAGAACTTAAATATACAAGGCTGGTATTTAAAGTCAAGCATGGGGCCTCCCCTGGTGGCACAGCCGTTGAGCGCTGGACTGCCCGCAGCCTCTGCAGCACTGGTTTTATCCCCAGCCGCCGGCGAGGGTCCCACATGGTGCGCAGACCTCTCCTGCCAGGCCCGCTGCTCCCCTCAGCAGTGTATTTTGTCAGTCTGCCTGTTCTGCTCCCCGCTCTGGCTCTGGTGAATTCTCTCACCCTTCCGTGCTTCTGACTGTACCCGGTGCTTGTATAAATAAATAAATAACATCTTTAAAAAAAAATAATAAAGTCAAGCATGGAGGCCTTTAGAAGGTGAGTGCCTAGAAGGCAGCACTTAGTCTTTCCTCTGTCACTGCTTTTCAGCACCTGACACATAGTAAGTGCCCAGTAAATATTTTTGGAATGAATCAACAAATGCTTTTTCTGTGGCTTCTTTTTTTTCTCTGTTAACTTGTTTTTCTACTTTGAAGTTGTAATTACTTATTTTTATTTTTTTCTATTGGACCCGAACATTTAAAGCTGTTTGCTTTGAATGACTTGTGTGTTTTGAAGGACAATGTTGCCAAATTGCGATGTAGATATTTATCTATGTCAGATGTTTCTCTTCTCCTCGCAACCCTCCACGCCATTTTTTGGGCTGGCTTAACTTGGAGTACATCCCTACCTGATTTGTCTGCCATCTCCTCAGAAATTTAGTGACAGAGAGGATTTTGGTAGGGGTAGCACCCAAGTATAAAATCCTAAGACTTTATAAACAAGGCAGGTTCATAGGATGATTGTGGGTGATAGAGAGGTGTGAGTCTTCAAAGCAGAACAAACATTTATTTAGTGCTTGCTGTGTGCAGGATATTATGGTATATGATTTGGGGGACACTTCAAAGCCGAAATGTGCCCCAAAGCAAATGGGGCAGCTGGGAAAGATGAGCTACAGTCCAGAATGATCACATTTTGAGATGACATCAGGACATACAGATGGAGAAATCTTGGAAACAGATGTGATGCCTGGGAGACAGTTGGCTTTGGAGCACTGGAGGTCCAGCCTTGAGATTTTAATCATCTAGATGAGAGCAAATATTCAAAATGGAGATCTTAAAGGTACAGAAAGGTCTTGGATCATTAGAAAAAAATAAAATGAAGCATTGCGTAAATTGTATCACAAAGGAAGAAAGGTAGACTGATGATAAAAAAAAAAAAAAAAAGGCTGGAGTATGTCTGGCTCGCCTTAATTAGGGTCTCAGAATTCTCAACTCCCCTTAATCAACACTTAAGTCTACTCAGTCCTAAAACTGGCAGATCACTTGACATAAGTGTGAAGACAGTCCCATTCCATGGTGACAGAAAATCCCCAAGTTGTTGAGCTCTGGGACTACAATTTCTCTAGGCAGTTGAGAAGGGAAACCTAGTTCTGTTATCCGAGGTTACTGAGCAAACTTTTTTTTTTTTTTAAGATTTATTATTTATTGGGCCTCCCCTGGTGGCGCAGCAGTTGAGCGCTGGGTTGCGAGGCTGCCCACAGCCTCTGCAGCGCCAGTTCGATCCCCGGCCACCAGCGAGGGTCCCACAAAAAAAAAAAAAAATTATTTATTTATACAAGCACTGGGTACAGTCAGAAGTGTGGGAGGGTGAGAGGATTCACCAGAGACAGTGCGGGGAATAGAACAGGCAGACTGACGAAGTACACTGCTGAGGGGAGCAGTGGGCGCAGCAGGAAAGGTCTGTCACGCCATGTGGGACCCTTGCCGGTGGCCGGGGATCAAACTGGCGCTGCAGAGGCTGTGAGAAGCTTCGCAGCCCAGCACTTAATCGCTGCTCCACCAGGGAGGCCCTGAACAAACTTTTCTTAATTCCTAGCCTCTGCACACAGAATGTAGCTCTTGCATGAAGGGGAAATGCTTCCCACATGGTGAAGAATGAAGCCGGAGTTTGAAACCAAGATAGCACGCTCTTTCTCCACAGTTGCCTTGATGTTGCCATCATTATTTTGCTTCATGTGCA